GGCCCTATAACACCCCATAGCTTTTGTGGGGACAGGGGACACTGTCCTATAAGCCCCCACAGGGACAGGGGGACAGACCCTATAACCCCCCACAACTCCTATGGGGTCACTGGGGACAGGCCCTGTAACAGGGACACTGCCCTATAACCCCCACAGCTCCTATGGGGCCACTGAGGACAGACCCTATAAACACCCCACTCCTATGGGGTCACTGAGGACAGACCCTATAAAACCCCACAGGGACACTGAGGACAGGCCCTACAACAGGGATACTGCCCTATAACACCCCACAGCTCCATGGGGTCACTGAGAACAGACCCTATAAACCTCCCCCCCTCCTTCCTCCCCCTTTCCCCTCCCCTCCCCCTTTTCCCTCTCCCTGCTCCCTCTTTGGGGTTTTTTGGGAGCTGTGGGGTCGGGATTTCCCCCCGTGGGGCCGGGGCTTTGTAGGATTTTTCTCCTCTGGGGTCGTGGCACCCCTTTGATCCCACTTTTTTGGGGGGGAAAACAGGGATTGGGATCATTCCCAGCCCTTCCCAGCACCTTTCCCAGCCCTGTGAGTTGATCCCGGGCCGTTCTCCCACGGGATGTGATTCCAAAGGGGGAGCTGCTCCCCCTTTTTTCCAGGCAGGGCTTTCCAGGGGTTGTGATCCGGGATTTTGGGGATTCAGGGTGCTGTTCCTTCATCATCCCAGCTTGGTGTGGTGGGAAAAGCCCCAAAAACCTGGAAAAGCTGTTCCCTTCTTCCTTAATCCCTCCCTGGAGGGAAGAAAAGCCCCAAAAACCTGGAAAAGCTGCTCCCTTTTTCCTGAATATTTCTCTGGAAGCAGGAAAAGCCAAGGAAAAAAACCCAAAAATCCTGGAAAAGCTGTTCCCTTTTTCGTTAATCCTTCCATGGAGGCAGGAAAAACCAAGGAAAAAAACCCAAAAACCTGGAAAAACTCTTCCCCTCTTCCCTAATCCTGTTCTGGAGGGAGGAAAAGCCCCAAAAACCTGGAAAAGCTGTTCCCTTTTTCCTTAATCCCTCTCTGGAAGCAGGAAAAACCAAGGAATAAAAACCAAAAATCCTGGAAAAGCTGTTCCCTTTTTCCTTAATCCCACTTTGAGGGCAGGAAAAACCAAGGAAAAAACCCCAAAAACCTGGAAAAATCCCATTTTTTCCCCCATTCCCACCCCTTGGCTCTCTCCCAGAGCCTGGAATTGGCTCCTTCCATCCCGGATTCCTTCGATTCCCAGCGGGAAATGAGGGAAAAGAAACTTCCCCCTCTCCCCAAAACTCATTTTATAGGGATAAAATCCGAATATCCCAACCCAACCCTTGCAGGGGGAGCCGAAAATTCCGGCTGTAATTCCCAATTTTTTTTTTTCCTTTTATTTTTTTTTCCTTTTTTAGGAAGGTTTTAAAATTGGTTGAAAAGCAGTTGGGAGGATCCCACCTTGGAAAGGAGGGGCTGGAGGTTTCTGCTCATGGTTAGTGATCCTTTTTTCCTGCTTTCAATCTTTTAGAGCTTCCTAAAAAATTAAAAAAAAACTTAAAAAAAACCCCTAAAATAATAAAAAGAAAATTAAAAAAAACCAACCCCCCCCCCCCAAAAAAACCAAACTAAAAAAACCGTAAAAAAAGCCCTAAAATTAAAAATCCTAAAAAACCTAAAATTAAAAAAAAACTAAAAAAACCCCTAAAAAAAACCCCCTAAAATAGAAAAAAAAACCTAAAAAAACCCCACCCTAAAATAAAAAAAAAACAAAAAACCCCACCCTAAAATAAAAAAACCCTAAAAACCCTAAAAAAAACCCCTAAAATAAAAAGAAAAAACAAAAAACCTAAAAAACCTCTAAATGAAAAAAACCTAAAAAGACCCTAGAAAAACCCTAAAATTAAAAAAACCAAAAAGCCCTAAAATGAAATAAAAAACCCTAAAATAAAAAGGCTAAAATAAAAACCCTAAAAATTAAAAACCCCTAAAATAGAAAACCTAAAATAAATAAAAAAACAAAAAAACCACATTAAAATTAAAAAGACCTAAAAAGCCTAAAAAGCACTCTAAAATGAGAAAAACTAAAAACCCCTAAAATAAAAATAAAAAAAAAAAACTAAAAAAACCCCCCTAAAATTAAAAAAACACAAAAGCCCTAAAATAAAAAAAACCCTAAAAAAAACCCCCAGGAGGTGTCTGCAGAGCTGGGTGACACTTGGTGACATCAGAACCCCTTTAGGGTCATTTGGGACATTTTGGGGCCACCACCTCATCTTCTCAGTCTCCTCTAAGTAGGTCCCACTCCTGGGGGTCTTCCTGGTCCTTTGGGGTCTCCAGGAGGTGTCTGCAGAGCTGGGTGACACTTGGGGACATCAGCAGCATCTTTAGGGCCATTTGGGACCATCTTGGGGCCACCACCTCGTGTCTTTGGGGTCCTTTGAGAAGGTCCCACTTCCTGGAGGGTGATGATGATTCCTGGGGTTCATCCTGGTCCTTTTGGGGTCTCCAGGAGGTGTCTGCAGAGCTGGGTGACACTTGGTGACATCAGCAACCCCTTTAGGGCCATTGGGGACATTTTGGGGCCACCACCTCGTGTCTTTGGGGTCCTCTGAGAAGGTGCCACTCCTGGAGGATGATGATGGCTCCTGGGGGTCATCCTGCTCCTTGGGGTCCCTCAATTTCCCTTTTCCTTGGAGTGACGTGTCCCTGTTTCCCATCCCTCCCTTCCAGGCAGTACCTGAAGCAGGAGAGCCTGGACAAGAAGAGGAAGGAATTTGATGCCAACGGGTGGGCCCTGCTGAGCAAGAAGAGCCAGGTGGGATTTGGGAAGGGGATCCTGCCCCTTCCCTTCCACCTTCCACCTTCCCATCCATCTTCCACCTTCCCATCCACCTTCCCATCCATCTTCCACCTTCCCATCCACCTTCCCATCCATCTTCCACCTTCCCATCCACCTTCCCATCCATCTTCCACCTTCCCATCCACCTTCCCATCCATCTTCCACCTTCCCATCCACCTTCCCATCCACCTTCCCATCCACCTTCCACCTTCCACCTTCCCATCCACCTTCCCATCCACCTTCCCATCCACCTTCCCATCCACCTTCCACCTTCCCATCCATCTTCCCATCCACCTTCCCATCCACCTTCCACCTTCCCTTCCACCTTCCCATCCATCTTCCACCTTCCCATCCACCTTCCCATCCATCTTCCACCTTCCCTTCCACCTTCCCATCCACCTTCCACCTTCCCATCCATCTTCCCATCCATCTTCCACCTTCCCATCCATCTTCCCATCCACCTTCCTATCCACCTTCCATCTTCCCATCCACCTTCCCATCCACCTTCCATCTTCCCATCCACCTTCCTATCCACCTTCCACCTTCCCATCCACCTTCCCATCCATCTTCCCAGGCTGCTTTTCCTCTGGGATTTGGGGTTTGAGGTGGTGGGGAGGGAAAGGGATTTCTTTTTTTTGGGGGGGTGGAAAATGGGATGGGATGGAAAATGGGATGGGATGGGATTGATGGGATGGGATGGGATGGGATGGGATTGATGATGGGATGGGATTGATGGGATGGGATGGGATGGGATGGGATGGGATGGGATGGGATGGGATGGGATGGATGGGATGGGATGGATGGGATGGGATGGGATGGGATGGGATGGGATGGGATGGGATGGGGGGTTTTTCCTTCCCTTTGCTGGGGGGATTTGGGATGAGGACTGAGGGAATTCCAGCTGGGAAAGGGCTCAAATCCCCTTCCAAACCCATCCAGCCTGGAATTCTGTGAACTTTGAGGACATTCCATGACCTTGAGGGGGAGAGAGAGATGGAATAAAAACCTTTCCCTGAGCTCCACCCTGAGCATTCCCAGGGTGGGGGCTCTGGGAGCTGGGAAAGGGGGGTGGTGGCCCCTCTGGGAGGTGGGAAAAGGGATGATGGCCCCTCTGGAATGGGAATTTCCCCTGGCAGGAGATCCCCCAGCAGATGAACGGCAGCGACTGCGGGATGTTCGCCTGTAAATACGCCGACTGCATCACCAAAGACAAGCCCATCAACTTCACCCAGGTACCCAGCGGGGCAGGGACACCCTGGGGACACCCTGGGGACACCCTGGGGACACCCAGAGCACCCTGGGGACACCCAGAGCACCCTGGGGACACCCTGGGGACACCCAGAGCACCCTGGGGACACCCAGAGCACCCTGGGGACACCCTGGGGACACCCTGGGGACACCCAGAGCACCCTGGGCACACCCTGGGGACACCCTGGGGACACCCTGGGGACACCCTGGGGACACCCTGGGGACACCGAGCACACCCTGGGGACACCCTGGGGACACCCAGAGCACCCTGGGGACACCCAGAGCACCCTGGACACCCTGGGGACACCCTGGGCACACCCAGAGCACCCTGGGGACACCCTGGGGACACCCTGGGGACACCCTGGACACCCTGGGCACACCCTGGGCACACCCTGGGGACACCCTGGGGACACCCTGGGGACACCCTGGGGACACCCAGAGCACCCTGGGGACACCCAGAGCACACCCTGGGAGGGGAGAGAGGGGGGAATTTGGGATTGGGATTTGGGGCTGGAATTTGGGATTGGCACGGGGAGGAGATGAAGAGGGGGAGAGAAAATGGGTCCATCCCTTGGGAGACAGTCCTGGATGAATCTCCTGTGGATCCATCCCTTGGGATGTGACAGTCCTGGATGGATCTCCAGGCTGGTCCTGGATGGATTTCCTGTGGATCCATCCCTTGGGAGACAATCCCTGATGGATCTCCAGGTTGGTCCTGGATGGATCTCCAGGTTATTCCATCCCACTGGGAGACAATCCCTGATGGATCCCCAGGCTGATCCATCCCTGGAACGTCCCCTGTGTGCCCATTTCCCTTCAGGGTACCAGAGAATTCCCTATTCCATCATTCCCTAAATCACCAACCCCAAAAAATGGGGGCATTCCAACCTGAATCCCGAGGAATTCCAGGCCCAACCTGCCTGGAATGTTCCCTTCTGGTTATAATAATTCCATCATTCCCTGTGCAACCATCCCATCATTCCCATCACATTCCCATCAGTTCCATCATTCCCTAAATCACCACCCCCAAAAAATGAGGGCATTCCAACCTGAATCCCAAGGAATTCCAGGCCCACCCTGCCTGGAATGTTCCCTTCTGGTTATAATAATTCCATCATTCCCTGTGCAATCATCCCATCATTCCCATCATTCCCATCACATTCCCATCAGTTCCATCATTCCCTAAATCACCAACCCCAAAAATGGGGGCATTCCAACCTGAATCCCGAGGAATTCCAGGTCCACCCTGCCTGGAATGTTCCCTGCATGTCCCATTTCCCTCTTGGTTGGAATTCCATCATTCCCTGTGCAACCATCCCACCATTCCCATCACAACTCCCTCATTCCCTAAATCCCATCTGCCCTATTTTCAACACTAGAAAAAAACCCAAATTCTCCCCTCTCTTCCCAAAAAAAAACCAAACTATGGAAAAACTTCCTCCTTTTCCTGACTGTTCCCTCCTTTTTTTTTATTCCCATTTTTTTCCCAAAGCAACACATGCCCTACTTCAGGAAGAGGATGGCCTGGGAGATCCTGCACAGGAAGCTCTTATGATGGGAATGGGGCTGGAAAAACCCAGGGATTTGGGATCCAGAAGTGCCGGGATTTGTTCCCCCCATCCCCCAATCCCGGAGACGCCGCTCGGGCCCTTCCCGGGAAAAGCTCCGGGAAAAACACGGATGGAGAAGGGGGGGAAAGAACCAAACCTGGCTCCTGTCCCTGCTCCAAGGGCACCAGGAATGTTGGGAAGCACATTTGGGATGGGGTTTTTTCCCTTTTTTTGGTTTTTTTTTCCCTTTTTTTTGGTTTTTTTTTTTCCCTTTTTTTGTTTTTTTTTTCCTTTTTTCCCCCTTTTTTTTAACGTCTTTCCCAATTTTCTTTGGATTTTGGAGGTGTTTTTTTGGGGCCACCTCTCTGGGGAGGGGGTTGTTGATTCCTGCTGGGTTTTTATTTTATTTTATTTTATTTTATTTTATTTTATTTTATTATTTTATTTTATTTTTTAATTCCTGCTCGGAGCAGGGCTGGGAGAAGAACCTGGAATTTTTTGGGGGGGAATTTTTTATAGGAGGGGTTGGATTAAAGAGGATTTGCTGTCGATGGAACCAAAACAACCACTCCAAAACCTCTCCCAACCCCTCAGGTGTAAAAAAAAAACCACTTCAACCTCCCAAAAAACCCCAAAATCCAGGATTTTTGAGTCTCCCACCCCCTCCTCCCCAGGGATTAATTAAAATCGGGATTCCTTCATTCCCAAATTCAGGATGAGCTTCCCAGGCTGGAAAAAACAAACCCTTTTTTTACACAGGGGAAAAGTGAATTTTTTTGGGGGTTTTTTTTGTTGTTGGTTTTGTATTTTGGGCCTCCAGTTTTAGGAAAGGGATATTTTATATATATATATTTTATTTTTTTTTTCTTCTCCACCCTTTTTTTTTTCCTCCCATCGGGGTCTGGTTTGTTCCCCCCTCTCCTTTTCCTTCCCCCACGTGTTTTTTTACACTTCATTTACTACCTTTTTTCTATCTTTGACTTCAATTAAAGCTCTGAGACACAAAAAATAATAATAAAAAAATCGGATTTTTGGCTGATTTTTTGGGTAGAACCCCCAGGGGTGGTTGGGGCTTCATTTGGGATCAATCCCTCCCAAAATTGAGGGTTTTTTTGGGGAGAAAAAGGAGGTTGAGAGGTTTTTAGAGGCTTTTTTTGGGTTAAAATAATTGAATTTTGAGTCTGGAATTGGGGGGAAATGATGAGGGGAGGGGGATTTTGTCCCATTGACTTTTAAAAAACCCCTCAAACCCCATCCCAAAAAAATAAAGAGTCTCTTGTTCCTCCTGAGCTCCCAAAAATATAAAAATAAATTAAATTTAAAAAAATAAAACGAGGCAGGGAGGGGGGGAGGGAACGAGAAGGGCCCCTCTCAAAGGAGGTTTTATTCTATTTATTAATAGAATAAATCACCTTGGGCCAGCCGGGGATTTTCAGGTCATATTGACTTTTTATTTGGGTTTTTTGGGGGTTTTTTTTGGGTTTTTTTATTTCCACCCCCCGGGGATTTTTATTCCTAGACGGTTTGGAATTTATTTCCCCAAGAAATAAATAAATAAATAAATAAAAAAACACCCCCAAAAATCCCAAACCATCCCAAAAAAACCTCTCCCCACCCCCCTCCCCGCTCTCCCTTCAAGCCGTGGGGACCCTCGACCCCCTCCCCCTTCCAAAAAAAGTCACTTTTAGCTTTGGTTTCTTGGTTTTTTTTCTTATTTTCCTTATTTCTCGATATATTTAAATTTTTAACATTTTTTTTCCGTGTCCAGCGTTTTATTTCTCCATTTATTCCATTTTTTTAACTTTTTTTTTCAGATTTGACGTTTTATTTCTCCATTTATTCCATTTTTTTTAACATTTTTTTTTCCTTGATTGATTTAATTTTTTTTTTCTTGGTTTGGGTCGTGGTTTTTTTTATTTTTTATTTTTTTATATTTAATTTTTCCGGCGTCCTCCGGGCTCGGGGACACAGGGAGGGCTTTGTGCTGCCTGCAGGCAGCTCTTTGGGGCCCTGGCTCGTTGCCACCCCAAATAGGTGGCCTTTATTTCTTTTTTTTTCTTTTTTTTAATGGAAAACCATCCAAAAATCGCCTCTTTTTTCCCTTTTCCAAAAGGGGGGAAACAACAAAAAAAAAAGGGGGTGAAACCCCTTCCCCCATTCTGGATTTGGGGTCCCTCACCCCAAAAAAACCCCACCTACAACCCCTAAAAATAACCCTAAAACCCCAAAAATGCACTGAGAACCATCAAAATATATATTTTTTAAACCCCCCAAAACCCGGAATTTTCACAGCAAGTTTGGACCCAAATCCACTTTTTAATTTATTTATTTATTTATTTATTTTAGGCAAAAATTACCTTTTTTTTTTTTTTTTGGGAAAAATCGGCCCCGTTTTTTGGTGTTTGGCCCCAAATCGCCCCTTTTTTTGGGTCCCAATTACCCTTTTTTTTGGCCCAAATTCTCCCTTTTTTTTGGCCCCGGGAAGGGGCAGAATGTGGAATATATGGAATATATGGAATATAGGGATATATTGAATATATGGAATATATGGAATATATGGAATATATGGGATAATGAGACAACCTCGACACGCCCCCCCCCCAAAAAAAAAATCACTTTTTTCCCCCTTTTCACCCCAAAAACCGCCTCTCCCACCCCAAATTCCCAGGATTTAACCCCAAAACTCCTTTCCCTTCTCTTTTCGGGATGATTTTCCCGAGCCCAACGCCCCCTCCCCTCCCTCCCCGGCCCCGCCGACCTCTTTGCATCCCTCATTAATTAGGGATAATCACCGCTCTCATTAGCGGGGCGCGCTCCTGCCAGTCCCCTCCCCCCTTCATCCCAATCCTGGCACCCGCAGCTTTATTTTTTTTAGCCCCAAATCGCCCCTTTTTTACCCCAAATCACCCCCTTTTTACCCCAAATCACCCCTTTTATAAGCCCAAATCGCCCCTTTTTACTCCAAACCGCCCCCTTTTTTTAGCCCTAAATCGCCTCCTTACATCCCAAATCTCCCCTTTTTCCCCCAAATCACCCTTTTAGACCCCAAATCGCCCTTTTTCCTCCCCCCAAATGTCGCCTTTTTACCCGAATCGCTCCTTTCTACCCCAAATGGCCTCCCTTTAACCCCAAATCGCCCCCTTTTTAGCCCCAAATCGCTCCTTTTTACCCCAAATCGCCCTTTAGCCCCAAATCGCTCCCTTTTTACCCCTAAATTGTCCCCTTTTTACCCCAAATCACCTCTTTAGCCCCAAATCGCCCTTTTAAGCCCAAAATCTCCCTTTTACCCCAAATCACCCTTTTACCCCAAATCACCCCCTTTTACCCCAAATCGCCTCTCTTTTTAAGCCCCAAATCACTCCTTTTTACCCCAAATCACCCCTCTTACCCCAAATCACCCCTTTTTAGCCCCAAATCACCCCCTTTTAACCCCAAATCACCCCTTTTTTAGACCCCAAATCGCCCCTTTTTTTCCCCCCAAATCGCCCCTTTTTACCCCGAATCGCCCCTTTTTCACCCCAAATCGCCCCTTTCTTACCCCCAAATTACCCCTCTTTTTTCACCAAAATCTCCCCTATTTTTACCTCCTAAATCCCCCCTTTTTTTACCCCAAATCCCCCTTTTACCCCTAAATCCCCTATTTTCCCCCTAAATCCCCCTTTTTACCCCAAATCCCCCTTTTTCCCCCTAAATCCCCTTTTTACCCCAAATCCCCTATTTTTACCACCCAAAACCCCATAACTTTTTACCCTTTCCCCCTCAACCCCCTTCCCCCAAAAAAACCACCCCTTATTTCCATTTTAACCCCAACCCCCTTTTTTTTTCCTCTCCTCCCAAACCGGGGCTACAAGCAGAATTTTTTTTACCTCCCCTTAAAAAAAAAACCTTAAAAAAAAAACACCCCGAGGCAGCTCCGGGGGGCTCAAAGGGGCTCTTTGTGCGGCTCCACCTTCCCAAAGAGTCGCCTTTTCATCCCGAGGAGGAGGAGGAGGAGCAGGAGGAGGAGGAGGAGGAGGAGGAAGAGGCCTGGTCGGGGGGCCTGGACGAGGGCGAAATGATTTGACATCATCTCACAAAAATGCCGCCGTTCCCACCCCCCAACAAATCACCTTTTTTCGGGACAAAAGGGGCTGTGTGCGATCATCCCCCCCTAAAAAAAATTATAATTAAAAAAAAGGGATTTATGGAGCCCCAAAACTCGCTTTTTTTTTTGGGAATTCACCCCAAATAGGGTCATTATAAATACCCTTAACCCCCTTTATTTAATTTTTTTTTTGAACAGTTGAGCCTTTTTAAAACATCATTAAAAACAGTATTTTTTAAAAAATATTTAATATAAAATATTAAATAATGCAAGAATATGAAACGATACGAAAATCCGTGAATCCTAAATAAAAATATAACGTTAAACAGCTGCCAATGAAGAGGGGGAGAAATAAAACGTCCCTTTTTTTATTATTTTTTTTTTTTTAATGCAAGCAGAGGGGACAAAGCTCCTTTCTGCTCCCCATTCCCAGCCCGGCCAGGGGAAATATTTGGGGACGGGGGGAGGGAGAAATCTGAGGTTAAGGGGAGGCACCAGCATCAAAGAATGGCCTTTTTTAAATTTCTCCACCTCTTTTTGCTGAAAAAACCTCTCTTTTTAAAGGAAAGATGGGGGGGGGAGGTGTGGGGGGGTCATCCCTGCCACCCCATAAACCAAACAGCTGGAGAGGGAGGAATTCCCTCTGGTTTGAGGCTATTTTTAAGGAGCTGAGGGTATTTTTGGAGAGTTCCCTAAAAAAAAAATAAAAAATAAAAAAATTAAATAAAAAATAAGGAGAAAAGGGGCTGAAATGGGGAGAAAATGGGGGGGAATTCCAGGAGGGGGTTGTGGTGATTTGGGGGAGGGGGTGGAAATCTCCGGGTTGGGGGAAAAGTTTGGTCCCAAATTCGAGTGGTTCGATCCCAAATCCCAATGATTCGGTCCCAAATTCAAGGAGTTCAGTCCCAAATCCCAGTGATTTGGTCCCAAATTCGAGTAGTTTGGTCCCATATCCGAGTGTTTCAACCCCAAATCCCAGCGGTTCGATCCCAAATCTCAGTGGTTCGATCCCAAATCCCAGTGATTCGGCCCCAAATCCCAGTGATTCCATCCCAAATCCCAGCGATTCGGCCCCAAATCCCGGCGATCCCAGTGGACCGGGCACGGGTGACACTCCCGGGGTGGTGGCGGCGGGGACAATCCCCACGGCCTCGCGTGGCACCCGAGGCCACCAGCGGGGGTGGTGGCACCGCGCTGGGAGGAATTTGGGTGGCCGGTGCCACCAAGGGGGGTGACAACACCCCCGGCACCCACCAGGGGCTGGGGACAATCCCCTGGGGTGGGGACAGTCCCGTGGGGTGGGGACAATCCCCTGGCGTGGGGACAATCCCCTGGGGTGGGGACAGACCCCTGGCGTGGGGACAGACCCCCGGCGTGGGGACAGACCCCTGGCGTGGGGACAATCCCCTGGGGTGGGGACAATCCCCTGGGGTGGGGACAGACCCCTGGCGTGGGGACAGACCCCTGGGGTGAGGACAATCCCCTGGCGTGGGGACAACACCACCCGGGGTGGGGACATCGCTGTGCCGGGAGCAGCGGAGGATGAGGAGGGTGACACGGTGACACGGTGACACGGTGGCGGCAGAGTTAACCCCCAAACCCCCCCCCGCAGCCCTCATTCCTTCCACTCGCGCCACGCGAATTCCTGAGCTGACTTGGATGCTTCCCGGCCATTCCCTCTGATCGCCTTTCCAGAGCCCCGGGACGGGGGAAAATCTGGGAAGGAGCCCGGGGACGATCCCCGGGAAAAAGAGGGGACAGAGAGAGAGAGAGGGAGGGGGAGGGGCGGGCCGGAGTCGCCGAAGGGGTCGCGGTGACGAGGGGGGTGGGAGAGGGAAAGGGAGGGGGTCGGGGTCACCTGGTGATGTTTGGGTTAAAATAACCCAAATTTGGGGCCACCTGCTCTCCTACCACGGCAGTACCGGTGGCTCCGGGGATGACACGGATGGGGGGAAGGTTGTGGGGTGACATTTTAGGGGTGACATAATTTGGGGAGGGGGGGGTCAAAGAGACCCTGGGGAATGGGAATGTCCCTGTGTCCCCCCCGCCCCCCATTCCAGTCACCCCCCTTTGCTCCTCGCAGGGAGTTGGGATGCGGGGGATGCTCCTTTTGTCACCTCCTCCTGTCCCCGCTGGTGACAGCAGCGACAGCAGCGACCCCCCCCAAAAAAAACCCCATGGGGAGGGGGCTGGCGGTGTCCTGGATTCCCAGCCCCGTTTTCCAGCAGGGAATGGCGGCCAGAGCCAGGTCCTGGCCCCGATCCCGACCAGAAGCAGCCACGCCGAGGGCTGAGCCCCGGCTCTCCCACCTGCCCGCGGGGGGAGACCCCCAAAACCCCCCCGGGACCCCCCAGGGAAGGGGTTTTGCTCCCCTTTGCCCTCTGGGGAAACTGAGGCACGGGGGGGTCACGAATAACACGGGGGTCCCCCATCACCTGAAGGGCATTTTTGGGGTGCAGGGGTGGAAGGGGGGAGGGCAAAGCGGGCTGAGGGGGGGTCCCTGGGGGGCTCAGCCGGAGTTGACAGCGCCGCGAAGTTTTTTCTGGCCGGGAACACACAGGGCTTTGTCCTGCAGGGCTTGGGGTGGGGAGGGGGTCGGGGGGTGGGGGAGGGGCTGGGGGGGCTCGGGGAGGGGGTGGGCGGTGTCAGAGCCGCGTCGTGGTTGCAGAGTGAGGGGCGCAGGGATGGCCGTGTCCCCCTCCTCGCTCCCCCGAGCCCGTCCTGCCCTGGATCCATCGGTGCATCCATCCATGAACAGCTCCCTCCCTCCTCCTTCCCTCCCCTCCCTCCTCCTCCCTCCCCCGGACCCCTCCCGTGCCCCTCCCCAGCCCCGGGGGCAGGATGGAAGGGTCGCCCCCGGGACCCCCAGACCCCGACCCTTCCCCCTCATCTGTGAACCCCAAAGTCAAAATCACCCCAAATCACCCCCCATTTATTTGCGAGTGGCAGGTGGAAGGAAGGGAGGGGGGGATTTTAAGGGCCCCCCTTTTTGGGGGTCCAGCTGACCAGGGTGGGGGGCTTAAGCTCAGTGGGATGGAGCTGCTGGGGTACCCCCAAAAACCCCCTTAAAAAGCAATTGGAAAGACCCCCCTTGTGCCCCCCCCCCCGTTTTTGGGGAGGGGGTCCCGGTTCCAGGTAGAGGAATGATGGGAGGGGGCTGCACTGGGTTGGGGGGGGTTATTCTGTGCCTACCCCCCTTGAAGCCCCTCTTAGTGGGGGATCAAACAGCTCAGCCTCTCCAGGACCCCCGGGATGCGGAGGTGACGCCCCAGGACCCCCGGCAGGGAATTGGGGAGGGGGTCCCAGACCCCCCCCCCCCACCCCGGGATGAGATGGGCAAAGGGGAGTGGGATTGGATCTCAGCCTTCCCGGTACCCCCCACCCCTGAGATGAAATGTGTGGTTCTCAATCCCCGGGACCCCTCGGATGAGACGGAATGGAGGGGGAATCTCAGCCCTCGGGACCCCCGGGATGGGATGGGATGGGATGGGATGGGATGGGATGGGATGGGATGGGATGGGATGGAATGGGGGTGTCTCATCCTCCGGGACCCCTCGGATATGAGGGAATGGAGGGGGATCTCAGCCCCCAGGACCCCCTGGATGGGATGGGATGGGGGCGTCTCATCCATCAGGACCCCCTGGATGGGCTGGGCTGGGCTGGGTGTTTCATCCCACAGGACCCCCTGGATGGAATGGGGGTGTCTCATCCCCCGGGATATGAGGGAATGGAGGGGGATCTCAGCCCTCAGGACCCCCTGGATGGGATGGGAAGGGACGGGACGGGATGGGGGTGTCTCATCCGCCGGGACCCCCCGGATACGACGGAGCGGAGGGGGATCTCATCCCCCAGGACCCCCAGGACGATCTGGGCTTGGCTGCGATGGGCTGGGGGTGTCTCACCCCCCTTTTACCCCCCCCCCCTTCATCCTCCTCATCCCCCGCAGCCACACTGGGGCCGTCCCGAGGGGGATGTGGGGGTGGGAAGGAGGTGGGGGGATCATAACGAGCCCCGTCCCTCGGCCCGCCCTGGCCCCGGTGGTGCCCGGAGGAGGGTCAGGGGCCGGCCCGGCTCGGGTTACACGGCCCGGGGGCCTCGGCGGGACATATACGCGGCTGCGGGGCCGTGCGGGCACTGCCGGCCCGAAGCGCGGTGAGGGGCGCAGCCGCCTCGCCATGCCCGGCCCGCTCCGCTTCGCCTTCCTCCTCCTCATCCTCCTCCTCGCCGCCGCCTCCGCGCAGGACCGAGACCTCCGTGAGTGATAAATCAGCACACCCCCGACTCATTTGGGGGCGCGGGCGGCAGGGGAGGGAGGGATGGAGGGAGGGAGGCGGAGGGGGACGCGGAGGGGACAACGGGGACAGCGTGGCACGGAGGGCGAGAAGTTTTGGGGGAAAGTGGAGGCACAACTTGAGCCGGGAGGGGGACAGAGAAGGGACAACGCGAGGGGGCGACGCGTCAGAGCAGGGGAGGCACAGCCTGGGGTGGGGGGACAGCGCGGGATGGGGGGACAGAGTGGGATGGATGGGGAGGGCGTGGGAGGGAGGGGGAAAGTTTCGGGGTGAGGGAGGGTGTTTGTATTGGGGGGGGACACTGGGGGACAGCGCAGGGACACGGGGGGGACACCGTGGGGACTCTGGGGGACAGCACAAGGAAAGGAGGGGGGGACACAGAGATGGAGGGAAAAAGTTTCAGGGTGGTGGTGGGGACAGTCGGGAACGAGGAGGGACGGCACGAACAGGGTGGGGGGACAGCGTGGGGGACACCGGGGGACAGCGTGGGGGACACCGAGGACAGCGTGGGGGACACCGGGGGACAGTGTGGGGACACCGGGGGACAGCGTGGGGGACACCGGGGGACAGCGTGGGGGACACCGAGGGACAGCGTGGGGACACCGAGGGACAGCGTGGGGACACCGGGGGACAGCGTGGGGACACCGGGGGACAGAGTGGGGGACACCGGGGGACAGCGTGGGATGGATGGGGCCGGGGACACTGCGGGACACGGGGGGACAAAGTGGAAGAGGGAGGGACAGGCTGGGACACGGGGGGACAGCACGAGGAGTGGGGGGGACCCCTTGGGGACCCCGGGGCCCAGTGTGGGATGGGGGGGAGAGTTTAGGGACAGCGTGGGGGCCAGTGGGGTGGAGAGGGACAGTGTGGGATGGGAGGGGACAGCCTGGGATGGGGGGCACACAGAACTGGGGCAGTGGGGCACAGAGGGGACAGGGGGTGCAGATTGGGGACAGCAGGTTAGTGTGGGGGTGTTGGGGACAAGCTGGGGCAGGGGGCACGGCAGGGACACTGGGGGACAGCAGGGGACAGTCTGGGGACAGCCTGGGGACATTGGGGGGCAGCCTCAGGATGGGGGGTCCCAGCCCAGGGCCGAGGGTTCCCTTTGGGGTCACAGGGAGCAGCCGGGGACGGGGGGTCTGTGCTCGGGGGGACATCCCAGGGCGCTCGGGGTCCATCCCTGGGGACTCTGGGGACACTGAGGACACCAGGGACACACCTCAGGGACCCTGGGGACACCACGGCATCTGGGGCCCATTCCAGGGACCCTTCAGCACATCCCAAGGTCCCTGGGGACAGCCTGGGGCACCTCCTGGGGACCCTGGGGCACCTCTGGGGACACTGGGGTAGCTCTGGGGACACTGGGGTAGCTCTGGGGACACCCTGGGGACAGTCTGGGGACACTGGGGTAGCTCTGGGGACACTGGGGTAGCTCTGGGGATACCCTGGGGCACCTCTGGGGACACTGGGGTAGCTCTGGGGACAGCCTGGGGACAGCCTGGGGCACCTCCTGGGGACCCCGGGGCACCTCTGGGGACACTGGGGTAGCTCTGGGGACAACCTGGGGCACCTCCTGGGGACCCTGGGGCACCTCTGGGGTCACTGGGATAGCTCTGGGGACACCCTGGGGACCCTGGGGCACCTCCTGGGGACCCTGGGCACCTCTGGGGACACTGGGGCGCAGTTTGGGGACACTGGGGCACCTCTGGGGATAGTGGGGCACCTCCTGGGACCCCGGGGCACCTCTGGGGACAACCTGGGGCATCTCCTGGAGACACTGGGGAAGCTCTGGGGATAGTGAGGCACCTCTGGGGGCACTGGGGTGCAGCCTGGGGACACTGGGGTACCCTCTGGGCACACTCAGGTGCAGTCTGGGGACAGTGGGACAGCTCTGGGGACACTGGGGTACCCTCTGGGGACACTTGGATACCTCAGGGGGAGCCAGGAGTGCAGTCTGAGGACACTGGGACACCTGTGGGGACACTGGGGCACCTCTGGGGACACTGGGGCACCTCTGGGGACACTTGGATACCTCAGGGGGAGCCAGGAGTGCAGCCTGGGGAAACTGAGGCAGCTCTGGGGACACTGGGGCACCTGTGGGGACACTGCTGTGCAGCCTGGGGATACTGGGGTGCAGTCTGGGGACATTGGGACACCTCTGGGGACACTGGGGCACCTCTGGGAACACTGGGGCACCTCTGGGAAAACTGGGGTACCTCTGGGGACACTGGGACACCTCTGGGGACTCTTGGATACCTCAGGGGGACCCAGGGGTGCAGCCTGGGGACACTGGGACACCTCTGGGAAAACTGGGGCACCTCTGGGGACTCTTGGAAACCTCTGGGGGACCCAGGGTTCAGTCTGGGGACACTGGGACACCTCTGGGGACTCTTGGAAACCTCTGGGGGACCCCGAGGTGCAGCCTGGGGACACTGGGGCACCTCTGGGGACACTGGGACACCTCTGGGGACTCTTGGAAACCTCTGGGGGACCCCGAGGTGCAGTCTGGGGACTCTGGGGCACCTCTAGGGACACCCCCCCTTCCCCCGCTTCAGGCTGACCCCTCATCCCGCTGCTTCCAACCCTCTTGGAGGATGATGGGGGGAGGGTGTTCCTCCATCCTCCATCATCCTCCTCCCCCTCCACAACCCCTGGGGGGGTTGTTGTCACCTCCAAAGACCCGGGATGGCACTGCCACCACCACCACCACCACCTGCACCTCGGTGACCCCGCTCCCCTTCCCTCCCCCTCCTGGGGTCGCTGCCCTCCCCCCTGTACCCCCAAAATCCCCCCCCCAGCCGAGGCAGGCAGCTGCCTGCAGGACGGGCAGAGCTACAGCGACAAGGACGTGTGGAAGCCGGAGCCGTGCCGGATCTGCGTGTGCGACACGGGCACGGTGCTGTGCGACGAGATCATCTGCGAGGAGCTGCGCGACTGCCCCAGCCCCGAAATCCCCTTCGGAGAGTGCTGCCCCGTCTGCCCCACCGACCAGCCCAGCGGTCGGAGCTCGTTTCTGCTTTTATCCATACGTAGATGTGCTTTTGTGGAGTGTATTTTATATATATATATAACATATATTTTATATATTACATCTATTTTACATGTATTTATATATATTTTATATATAACTTATATATATTACATCTATTTTACATGTATTTATATATATTTTATATATAACTTATATATATTACACGTATTTTACATATATTGTTATATTTTATATATAATTTATATATATTTTATATGTGTATATATATGTGTATATGTGTATATATATGTGTATATGTGTATATATATGTGTATATGTCTATATAAATGTATATATGTATATATATGTGTATATATATGTATATGTGTATATATATGTGTATATATATGTATATATATATGTATATATATCTATACACATGTATATATTTATATACCTGTATATATGTGTGTATATATATGTTTATATATATGTATATATATGTATATATATGTATATATGTTTATATATGTGTGTATATACAGATATATATCCCCTTGTCATCAACAGCTAAGTAAATATAAAGGAATAAATTTATTTTTGATGACATGGGGATATGTATGTACACATATATATGCACATATATATATATATACCCTTGTCCTTAATGAATAAATAAATAAAAATAATTAAATAAATTTATTTATTGAGGACAAGGGGATATACATATACATACATACATATATATATATACACATATATATACACATATACACCTGTGTATCCCCTTGTCATTAATAAATAAATAATTAAAAATAATGAAATAAATTATTTATTAATGACAAGGGGATATTTATATGTGTGTGTGTATGTATAACCCCTTGTCATTAATAATTTAATTCATTAATTAATCTATTTAGTAATGGCAAGGGGGTATATATACACATATACATATATATAAATACCCCCATGTGGTTAATAAATAAAGAAATAAAAATAAATAAATTTATTTATTAATGCCAAGAGGATATATATACATATATACACATTTATACATATATATATATATATCTCCTTGTCATTAATAAATAAATTACCCCCTTCAATCCCACCCCAGGAAAAGGCAACTTGACCTCAACCCATGAGAGGGGTAAAAAAAATCACCCTAAATGGGGAAAAAAATTATCCTTGGGGGGGGTTTTATCCCAAAACCTGCAGGAGTTTTTTTGAGGGGAAAGGGGGTAAAGTCATTTTTTAGTGTGTTTTGTAAGGGGTGGATTTTTGGGGGGAGAAAAAAGAGTAAAATGGCTTTTTTAGTGTTTTTTTTGTAAGGGGTAGATTTTTTGGGGGGGGAAAGGTGCAAGGTGGGGTTTTTGGTGTTTGTTTTTTTTGCAATAGGGGTAAAAAAAACACTAAAAAAAGAGTGGTTTTTGCAAGGGGTGGGTTTTGGGGAGAAAAAGGGGTAAAGTGGTTTTTTTAGTGTTTTTTGCAAAGGATGGGTTTTTGGGAGAAAAAGGGGTAAAGTGGTTTTTTTAGGATTTTTTGCAAGGAGTGACATAAAACATCCCCCTTCACCCCCCCCAAAAAGACCCCCAAACCACCCCAAAAAACAAACCTCCCAAAAACCAGAAGTTGCCTTTTTTAACCCTTCCCTGCCCCAACTGGAGGGGTGGGAAGGGTTGAACCCCCAAAAAGCTCAGAGCCCCCCAACCCCATTCACCCCCTGCCAGCGCTTCGGGGAGCCCCCTGTGCCCCCCTTTTTGGCCCCACAGCCCCCTAAAGGAGCACCAGAAACCCCCTGGGATGGAGAATTCTCATGTGTGTCCCCCTCACCCAGCCCAACCCCCTGACCCCCAATTAATTTCTCTTTATTTCTTTGTTTTCCCAACAGGGCACCCTGGCCCCAAGGTGAGCAAATTCCGGGGTTCACCCCAAAAATGAGGAGGGGGTGGTGGAGGTAGAGGGGTCTGTTTGGGGTGAGACCCTCTGGGTGGGGGGTCACTTCTTGGGGGTTTTGTCACCTCCTGGGGGGGTTTTGCCACCTCTTGGGGGTTTTGTCACCTCTTGTCACCTCCCAGAAAGGGGGTTTCACCTCCTGGGAAAGGGGGATTTTTACCCTTTTGGGATGGAGTTTTAGGGAAGGGGGAGAGAGAAATTTTGGGGGGTGGGGAGTGGCTTCTCTTGGCTCACCCCGAGCTTTTGCCTTGCAGGGGCAGAAAGGCGAACCCGGGGACATTAAAGATGTGAGTGATGGGGGGACACCCCAAATTTGGGGGGAGAGGGGGAGAGGGAGAAGGGGGGAAGGAAAGGAGGAGGAGGGGGGGTCTTTTTTCTCACCCCAACTTTGTGTCCCCCCCTTTTCCCCACAGGTCGTAGGACCCCGAGGGCCTCCGGGACCGCAGGTGGGAGCGTTTCCCGCATTGCTGGAATATTTGTGGGGTTGAGGTGGGAGTTGGGGGATTAGAGGAAGGGGGTGTGGGGGGAGATCTGACCCCCCCTCCCCCTCTTCTCCTCCTCCTCCTCCTCCTCCTCCCACCCCCCTCAGGGCCCGGCAGGTGAGCAAGGACAGCGAGGGGAGCGCGGCGAGAAGGGGGAGAAGGTGAGAGCATCCCAACCCCCAGCAGCCCCCCCAGTAGAGAAGGGGGGGGGCCCTGCAGAGAACTGTGACACTCACCACATGAATGACACGTTTTTATTTTCCCCCAACCCCTCCCAGGGCCTTCCTGGTCCCCGGGGCAGGGATGGAGAGCCCGGCACCCCCGGCAACCCCGGCCCCGCCGGCCCTCCCGGCCCTCCAGGCCCCCCCGGGCTCGGTGGGGTGAGTATGGACGGGGGGTTTTGGGGTGGTAGGAGGGGTCATTTTTTGGGGGAGGGGGTCCCAGGGGTGCTCAGTCCTCTCCCCTCTGGCAGAACTTTGCGGCTCAGATGGCAGGAGGCTTCGACGAGAAGGCTGGAGGGAGCTCAGATGGGCGTCATGCAGGGACCCATGGTAAGCCCCCTCCCACCCTCCTGTGTCTACAGGACCCCCAACCCCCATAACCCCCTACACACCCCTCCCCTGCTGTGGTGGGTGATGAGGGGTGACCCCCCTCTGTGACTCTGTTGTTTCTCCCCTCCCCACCCCCAGGGCCCTATGGGACCCCAGTGGCCCCCGGACCCTCTGGCTCTCCTGTAAGTAGCACCCCTCCCCTCACCAGCTTTTGGGGTGCCCCCTACACCCTTCCCCACTGATGTCACTTCTTCCCCCCCACACACACTGATGTCACCATCTCTTCCAGGGTCCCCAAGGATTTCAAGGCAACCCCGGCGAGCCCGGCGAGCCCGGCGCTGCTGTGAGTGCCCCCATCACCCCCCATCCAGGGACCTGCCACCCCCCTCCCCTCACCTACAGCTCACCCACTGCCTCTCTGTCCCCTCTAGGGTCCCATGGGCCCCCGGGGACCACCAGGACCTCCAGGGAAACCCGGAGATGACGTGAGTGCTTCGCTGCTGAGAACGGGTGGCTCGTGTCAGCAGTGGCCATGAAAGAAAAGGTGGTTTCTATTTACCCTCCCCACCCCCCTCAAATGTCATTTCCCCGCAGGGTGAGACCGGCAAACCCGGTAAATCCGGCGAGCGTGGCCCCCCAGGCCCTCAGGTGAGTTTGGATCAGCCCCCCCTCGGGACAGGGACCCCCCCTCACCCCATGTGTCCCCCCAACTTTGTCCCCAACTCACTTCCTCTCGCAGGGTGCTCGTGGCTTCCCCGGGACCCCCGGGCTGCCCGGAGTGAAGGGACACAGGGTGAGTGAGTGTGTGTGCCCCCCCTGCCCCTGGGCCCACAGTGCCCCCCTCCCCTGGGGGAACAGAGGGTGACCCCCCCCCCCTTTTGGTGTGCCCAGGGATACCCCGGCTTGGACGGTGCCAAAGGAGAGGCCGGAGCTCCTGGAGCCAAGGTGGGTGTGGGGGGAGCACCCCCCGTGGTGTTGGGGCTGGCCAGGTGATGACCAACCAGGTGACCATCCCAGGGGGTTGGGGCTGAGGGAGTGACCATCCCTGTGACATTGGGGTTGATGGAATGACCATCCCAGTGGCTGATGGAGTGACCACCCCTGTGGTAGCAGGGCTGGCCAAGTGACCGTCCTGGGGACCAGTGGTGTTGGGGTTGATGGAGTGACCATCCCAAGTGGCCTTGGGGCTGATGGAGTGACCATCCCAGTGATATTGGGGTTGATGGAGTGACCATCCCTGTGATATTGGGGCTGATGGAGTGACCATCCCTGTGATAGTGGAGTTGATGGAGTGACCATCCCCATGGCACTGGGACTGAAGGAGTGACCATCCCTGTGATATTGGGGCTGATGGAGTGACCATCCCAGTGATAGTGGAGTTGATGGAGTGACCATCCCCATGGCACTGGGACTGAAGGAGTGACCATCCCTGTGATATTGGGGTTGATGGAGTGACCATCCCAGTGATAGTGGGGCTGATGGAGTGACCACCCCAAGCGACCTTGGGGCTGATGGATTGACCATCCCCTTGGCATTGGACCTTCCCCATGACACTGGGGCTGATGGAGTGACCACCCCTGTGTCCTCAGGGCCCATGCAGTGTCCCCCCCCCCGTTGGTCACCCCCAGCCCTCACCCTCCCTGTCCCTCCCCCTCCCCGCAGGGTGAATCCGGCTCCCCCGGCGAGAACGGCTCCCCTGGCCCCATGGTGAGTCCTTGGGCTGGACAGAGGGGAAACTGAGGCACGAGGGGGGTGGAAATTGGGGGAGGGGGTGGTGGGCACAGCCCCCCCAGGGCTTGACCAACCCCCCGTGTCCCCCCAGGGTCCCCGTGGGCTGCCTGGAGAGAGAGGACGCCCCGGCCCCTCCGGTGCTGCGGTGAGTGCCACGCTGCCTGTGCCCCTGGGGGCACCTTGGTGGCACCCTGGGGACACCCAGTGTCCCCCCTCCTGCTGGTGACCCCCCCTTGGTGCCCCCATGCCTCACCCCACCATCTCCCCCCAGGGTGCTCGTGGCAACGACGGCCTCCCCGGTCCTGCCGGACCCCCCGTAAGTCAAGGGCTGCTCTGGCCCCCCCCTGGACCCTGTGTCACCCCCCACGGGGGGCACAGAGGGGTCCCCCAGGACCCCCCAAAAGCCTGGGCAGACCCTCACACTCCTCTCTCTCCCAGGGACCTGTCGGCCCAGCCGGAGCTCCCGGCTTTCCCGGCGCCCCCGGCTCGAAGGTAACGGGGCAGGGGAGGGGAAACTCGAGGCACAGCACCCGCTGTGACCCCTCACTCCTGCTAATCCTCCCCCTGTGACCCCCACCCCCTCAATCCTCACCCCTGTGACCCCCTCACCCCCTCATTCCTCCCCCCAGGGTGAAGCTGGTCCCACTGGTGCCCGAGGTCCCGAGGGTGCCCAGGGTCCCCGCGGCGAATCCGGCACCCCCGGCTCGCCCGGCCCCGCCAGTGCCCCCGTAAGTGCCACCTCCCACGTCCCCCTCCCTGCTGGCTTCATCCTGGCCTCGTCCCCCTGACCTGGGAGCTGTCCCTGGAAGGGGATTTGGGACAACTGAGGCACGAGGAGCTCAGTGGTGACTCCTTTTAGGGTAACCCGGGCACCGACGGCATCCCCGGAGCCAAGGGCTCAGCGGTGAGTGGGGTGTGGGGACAGGGAGGGGGTTGGGAAGTGTCCAGGGACCCCAGAGAGGTCCAGGGTGAGGGGGGCTGCTGAGGGTTTGGGGATCTGGGGGACACGCAGGATTTGGGGGCAGGAGTTCGCTGGGGGACGGGGGGAGGTGGGGTGGGGGAAATAGTGGGGTCTGGGGGACACTGGGGGACAGTGGGGGACACTGGGGGATGTGGAGGTGTTGGGGACATTGGGGGACTCTGGGGGACATGGGGGACACTGGGAGGATGCTGGGGACACTGGGGACATGGGGATGCTGGGGGACACTGGGGGATATTGGGTGCTGGAGGACCCTGGGAGGATGCTGGGGGGACACTGGGGATATTTGGTGCTGGGGGACACTGGGAGGATGCTGGGGGACACGGGGGACACTGGGGGGTACTGGGTGCTGGGGACACTGGGAGGATACTGGGGACACTGGGGGATGCTTGAGGACACTGGGGACATGGGGATGCTGGGGGGACACTGGGGAGGTGGGAGGGGACAGGGGAGGACAGGGGGCTGTGGGGGGGACACTGGGGAGGTGGGAGGGGACAGGGGGGCTATGGGGGGACACAACCATGCCCCCTGACCCCCCCTGGTGCCCCCAGGGTGCCCCGGGCATTGCTGGCGCTCCAGGTTTCCCCGGTCCCCGCGGCCCCCCCGGCCCCCAAGGAGCCACCGGCCCCCTGGGCCCCAAGGGACAGACGGTGAGAGAGAGACCCCCTGGCTTTGACCCATTTCCTCCTTTGCCTTTTGCCCCTTTTCCCTGTTTTTTCCCGGTTTTCCCCCATTTCCCCCACTTTAATCCACGTTTTCCCCGTTTTTCCCCTTTTATTCCCATTCTCCCCACTGCTTTTTGCCATTCCACCACTTTTTTTTCCCCTATTTTCCCCTCTTTTGTTCTCATTTCCCCCCTTTTCCTCCCTTTTCCCTCATTTTCCCACTTTTTTCCCTTCTCCTCCATGTTTTCCCCTTTTTCCCATTCCACTTCCCCCACCTTTTCCCCTTTTATTCCCATTTCCCCCCCCTTTTTTTCCCTTTCCACCCCTTTTCCCCCATTTCCTGTTTCCCCACGGGTGGGGTGGGAAGGGGGTGGCAACAGGTAAAGAGGACTGGGATGAAGATGGAGATGAGGAAAGGGATGGGGACAGGGCCTGGAGAACACACCAGGGACAGGGACAGGAGCTGGAGAATGGGGAGAGGAGCTGGAGAACACACCAGGAACAGGGACAGGAGCTGGAGAATGGGGAGAGGACCTGGAAAACACACCAGGGATGGGGGACAGGGCCTGGAGAATGGAGACAGGAACTGGAGAACACACCAGGAACAGGGACAGGAGCTGGAGAATGGGGAGAGGACCTTGGAAAACACACCAGGGATGGGGTCAGGAGCTGGAGAATGGGGAGAGGACCTGGAGAATGGGGAGAGGACCTGGAAAACACACCAGGAACGGGGACAGGACCTGAATTACACACCAGGGGTGGGGACAGGAGCTGGAGAATGGAGACAGGAGCTGGAGAATGGAGGCAGGAGCTGGAAAACACACCAGGGACAGGGACAGGACCTGGATTACACACCAGGGATGGAGACAGGACCTGGAGAATGGAGACAGGAGCTGGAAAACACCCCAGGGATGGAGGACAGGGCCTGGAGAATGGAGACAGGAGCTGGAAAACACCCCAGGGATGGGGATAGGACCTGGATTACACACCAGGGACAGGGACAGGACCTGGATTACACACCAGGGACAGGGACAGGACATGAAGAATGGGGTCAGGAGCTGGATTACACCCCAGGAACAGGGACAGGACATGAAGAATGGAGGCAGGACCTGGATTACCCCCAGGAACAGGGAAACACTGACACCTTGTATCCCATCCCCATCCCCCTCCTCCACAGGGAGAACCGGGAATCGCGGGTTTCAAAGGCGAGCAGGGACCCAAGGGCGAGACGGTGAGTGGGGGTCGAGGGGGCCACACCTAGGACCCCCCCATCCCAAAAACCCCCAGGCTGAGGGTGGGGAACCCACCCCCACGGGCCCCTCTCCCCTTCACGAGGCCCCTCGAGGGGCAGCATCCCCCCCCCTCCCCTAACCCGGGGGGACAAAGGGCTGCTGTGTCCGTGTCCCCCCGTGGGGACATTCCCCCCTCGCTTCATTAACCACCCTCAATGCCGGGGCTCGGCGGCGGCGCCGCCAGCGCTGCGGGGGGCACGTCGGGGGGCTCCTTCCCCTTGTGGGGGGATGGTTTGGGGGGAGAGAAAGGCTCTTTGTGACCCCCTCACCCCCCACCCCCTCCCCTTTTTTTCCCTCCTGGCAGGGACCAGCAGGACCCCAAGGTGCCCCCGGGCCGGCGGGCGAGGAAGGCAAGAGAGGAGCCCGAGGCGAACCCGGGGCTGCCGGTCCTTTGGGACCCCCTGGAGAAAGGGTGAGCGTGTTTGTGTGTCCCCCTCCCCAAAAAAAAACCCTCCTCACCCCCACCCCCAAAAAAAACCCCTCTCCTGACTTTCATCCTCCTCCTCCTCCTCTTCCTCCACAGGGCGCTCCCGGCAACCGCGGCTTCCCGGGACAGGACGGGCTGGCCGGACCCAAGGTGGGGATGGGGTCTCGGTCTGGGATGGGGGGGTTTCCCAAGGTGGGGATCACCCCCATCCTATCCTTGGAGCCCCAAAATCAACCCCACTCAACCCCACACAGGGTGCTCCAGGCGAGCGTGGCCCCGCAGGCCTGGCGGGTCCCAAAGGAGCCACCGGCGATCCCGGACGACCCGGAGAGCCCGGACTGCCCGGGGCCAGGGTGAGACAGACGGGGGTCCCACGGAGGGTAGGGGGGTCCCACAGAGGGTGTAGAGGGGGCAAGAGGGGCAGGGGACAGTGAGGACAGCGGGGACGCCGGTGGGACCCACTGGGTTAAGCAAGAGGGGGCTTCGGGATCAATGAGGTGCTTTTGGGGTGGATGAGGAGCTTTTAGGGTTAAGATGCTTTTGGGGTCAAAGAGGTGCTTTTTGGGGTCAGTGAGGCGCTTCTGGGGTCTATGAGGTGCCTTTGGGGTCTATGAAGTGCCTTCGGGGTTGATAAGGTGCTCTTGGGGTTAAGATGTTTTTGGGGTCTATGAAGGTTGGGGTTGATAAGGTGGGGTTGGGGCTAAGATGCTTTTGGGGTCTATAAGGTGCCTTTGGGGTTGATAAGGTGCTTTTAGGGTTGTCTGAGGTGCTTTTAGGGTTAAGATGCTTCTGGGGTCAGTGAGGTGTTTTTGGGGTCAATAAAGTGTTTTTAGGGTTGATAAGGTGCTTTTAGGGTTGTCTGAGGTGCTTTCAGGGTTTAGATGCTATTGGGGTCAATGAGGTGGTTTTGGGGTCAATGAGGTGGTTTTGGGGCCAGTGAGGTGCTTTTGGGGGCTATAAGGAGCTTTTAGGGTGGTCTGAGGTGCTTCTGGGGTCAATAAGGTGCTTTTAGGGTTGCTTAAGGTGCTTTTGGGGTCAGTTCAGTGCTTTTGGCCTTGGCCACAGCGCTCTTTGGCATTAAGGGGTTTTCTGGGGTTGGGTCAGTTGTTCCTTGGTGTTAACTAAGAAATCCTTTGGGGTTAATTAAGACTCTCTTGGTTAATTAAGACGCCTTCTGGGGTGACCAAGGTGCATTTGGGGTTCACAAAGATGCTCCTTGGGGTTGGACGCTCTTTGAGGTTGGATGTTTTTGGGGTTGGATCCTTTTTGGGGTCAGATGCTCTTTGGGGTCGGATCCTTTGAGTTGGATGTTGTCGAGGTTCTTTTTGGGGTCAGATGCTCTTTGGGGTTGGACACTCCTTGGGGTTGGATGTCCCTTGGGGTCAGGTGCTCTTTGGGATCAGATCCTTTTTGGGGTTGGCTGTTCTTTGGGGTCGAATCCTTTTTGGGGTCAGATCCTTTTTGGGGTTGGGTGCTCTTTGGGGTCAGATCCTTTTTGGGGTCAGATCCTTTTTGGGTTAGGCTGTTCTTTGGGGTCAATCCTTTTTGGGGTCTGATGCTCTTTAGGGTCGAAACCTTTTTGGGGTCAGATCCTTTTAGGGTCTGATGCTCTTTTGGGGTCTGACACTCTTTAGGGTAAGCAAAGGTGCTCTCTGGGGTGGTGGGGGTTGGGCAGACCCCGTTTTTTCCCCCCCAAGAGGTTCCCAGCCCCCCCCTCAGCTCCCCCCTGTCCCCACAGGGTCTCACGGGCCGCCCCGGTGACGCCGGTCCCCAAGGCAAAGTCGGTCCCACCGTAAGTGAAGCTGCACAGGGGAAGGGGCTGGGGGTGGGCAGGGGACAGGAGGAGGAGGGAGGGGGTCTGGGATGGCCCCCTGACACCCCCTCCCCACAGGGTGCCCCCGGCGAGGACAGGCGCCCGGCCCCCGGCCCGCAGGGCGCTCGCGGCCAGCCCGGCGTGATGGGATTCCCCGGCCCCAAAGGTGCCAACGTGAGTATTGCCCACCCCTCCTGCCCAAAAACGGGGGCTGGGGGGTCGCAGAGACCCCCCTCACCCACCCACCCCCGGGTGCCACCTCTGCCTCTCCCCAGGGCGAGCCTGGCAAAGCTGGCGAGAAGGGACTGCCCGGGGCCCCGGGGCTGCGGGTGAGTTGTTTTCCCTCCCTCCCTCCTCACCCCACCCTCAGTTTTGGGGGTGCTGCAGCTCCCCCCGAGGCCTCTGCGGTGCCCCAGAGTGGGGGAAACTGAGGCAGCAGCTCAGAGGGGTTTTTTTCCCCCTCCTCCTCCTCAGGGGCTCCCTGGCAAGGACGGTGAGACAGGAGCTGCCGGACCCCCCGGACCTGCCGTGAGTGAAACGGGAGGGGAAGGAGGTCAGGGGTGGAACCCCCACCCCCCAGAGCTGGGCAAAAAGGGTCTGCTGGGGGTGAAACCCCTGCAGTGGCTGCCCTTGGGGATTTGGGGGCCCAGCTCTGCCCAAAAGCTCGGGGTGGGGGAAGCCCTGAGGGGGTTTCGGGGGGTCCCTCACCATTGTCCTTCCCGCAGGGCCCCGCGGGCGAGAGGGGAGAGCAAGGAGCCCCCGGCCCCTCCGGCTTCCAGGTGAGCACATGGGAGGTTCTGGGGGCGGTTCTGGGGGTGGGGAGACCCTCATGGGTGGCTCTGAGCCCCCCATCCCCTGGTGGTCTCGCTGCTCCCCCCCCCGAGTGCTCACAGGGCTGCTCTCCCCTCCCAGGGGCTGCCCGGCCCGCCAGGTGCCCCCGGAGAGAGTGGCAAACCCGGAGATCAGGTGAGAGACCCCCACTTTTTCCCCCTTCTCAAGCTGCAAAGGAGGTGTGGGGGGGGTTAAGAGCCCCCCAGTACCCCCCTCCCCAAGGCCTGACCCCCCCTCTCCCCCACCTCTGCCACAGGGTGTTCCTGGAGAAGCCGGAGCGCCCGGTCTTGTTGGTCCCAGAGTAAGTATCACCTACTCCCTGCTGGGGGACTGGATTCATCGGAGAGGGGGCTTTGAGGGGCTCCAAGGGGTTGACAGACCCTGGCTGCTCCATTCCAACCCTGGTGGCATCCTCTCAGTGTCCCTCAACATCCCCATGTCCCCAGCATCCTCCAGCATCCCCCAGTATCCCCCAGTGTCCCCAGCATCCCCCAGTGTCCCCTAGTGTCACCCATCTTCTCCATGTCCCCCAACATCCCCCCATGTCCCCCAGTGTCCCCCAGCATCCCTCCAGTGCCCCCCAGTGTCCCCTAGCATTCCCCCTGTCCCCCAGTGCTCTCCAGCATCCTCCAGTGTCCTTCAGCATCTCCCTATGTCCCCCCAGCATCCCCACATCTCCCAGTGTCCCCCACATCTTCCCGTGTCCCTGCATCACCCCATGTCCCCCCAGCATCCCCACATCCCCAGTGTCTCCCAATACCTCCTTGTCCCCTGCATCACCCCACAGCCCCCAGCATCCCCACATCTCCCAGTGTCTCCCAATATCTCCTTGTCCCCCTGCATCACCCCAGTGTCCCCCAGCATCCCCACATCCCCCAGTGTCCCCCAATACCTCCTTGTCCCTCTGTATCACCCCAGTGTCCCCCAGCATCCCCACATCTCCCAGTGTCTCCCAACACCTCCTTGTCCCCCTGCATCACCCCATGTCCCCCAGCATCCCCACATCTCCCAGTGTCCCCCGACATCTCCCTGTCCCCCTGCATCACCCCATGTCCCCCCAGCATCCCCACATCTCCCAGTGTCTCCCGACATCTCCCTGTGTCCCTGCATCACCCCACGCCCCCCATCATCCCCTCCAGTGTGTCCCTTCCAGATCCACCAGCTCCCCCCCATCCTGGTGGCCAATCCCCCTCGGCCTCAGGCTGGTGCCCCCTTGCCCTCAGTCCCCCTCACCCCGTGGCCTCTTCCCCACACCCACCCACTCCTCTTTTCCCTCCCCTCCCCGCAGGGCGAGCGCGGCTTCCCCGGCGAGCGCGGCTCCCCCGGCGCCCAAGGCCTGCAGGGACCCCGCGGGCTCCCCGGCACCCCCGGCACCGACGGGCCCAAGGTGGGTGACAGCGGGGACATCCCTAGGGGGGGTGAGGGGGCGTGTGTGTGGCAACCTTGGCACCCCAAAAACCCCAAAACCCACGCCTTTTCCCCCGCTCTGCTTTAGGGCGCCACCGGCCCCGCCGGCCCCGCCGGCGCGCAGGGACCCCCCGGGCTGCAGGGGATGCCCGGGGAGAGAGGAGCGGCTGGAATCGCCGGTCCCAAGGGAGACAGGGTGAGTGGTGAGGGTTTGGGGGGGTGTCACGAGTGTTGTGGGGTCTCAGCTCATCATCTTGTGTCGCCCCCGCAGGGAGACGTCGGCGAGAAGGGCCCCGAGGGAGCCCCTGGCAAGGACGGTGCCCGTGTGAGTGGGACACGGGGGTGGCGGTGGGGGCAGAGGGGTGGTTTGGTGGGGGATTCTCGGGTGGCCTCACCCTCTTCTCTCCCTCCCCCTCCGCAGGGTCTGACGGGTCCCATCGGCCCCCCCGGCCCTGCCGGCCCCAACGGCGAGAAGGTGAGAGCTGGGGCAGCCCCTGAGCTGGCCCCGACCCCGGGAGAGCCCGCCCGGCCCCCCACGACTCTCTGTCCTTTCTCTCCCAGGGTGAATCCGGCC